GGGGGGGGGGGGGGGAGCGGTGCAGAGAGAGAGAGAGAAAGAATCCCAAGCAAGCTCTGTGCCATCGGCACAGGGCCCGAACTCACGAAAATGTGAGATCATGACGTGAGCTGAAAGCAAGAGTCAGATGCTTAACTGACTGAACCATCAGGCGCCCCTTCATTTGTTTATTATTAAAAAAAATTTTTTTAATGTTTATTCAGTTTTGAGAGACAGAGTATGAGGGGGGAGGGGCAGAGAGAGAGGGAGACGCAGCATCCGAAGCAGGCTCGAGGCTCTGAGCTGTCAGTGCAGAGCCCGACATGGGGCTCCAACCCACGGACTGTGAGACCGTGACCTGAGCCAAAGTCGGATGCCCAACCGACTGAGCCACCCAGGCACCCCCTCCAGTATTTACCTTTCAAACAAAGATAGCAGCCTGAGGTTGGAGGGGGTGAAGGCAAGAGGAAGGTGGTGTTGACCTGCAGGCAGGAGCTGACGCTGTAGGGAGCAGTTCGGCCCTCGGGCCACCCCTGAAATCACACTGCTGGCCTTGAGCTGGCCCTGAGCCCGGAAGCCGGCTTGCGTGGCCCAGGGCCCTCCCACTGCATACCCCGGCTGGGTAAGTGGCAGAATCTTTGCTGTCAGCAGGGAGGGCCCCATATCTCCACATTCCTCTCGCAGCTCAGGCTCTGGGTCCCGGGGAGATGAGCCCTTGGTGACACCTGAGCTTGCGGCATTTGGGAAACACAGGCGTGAGGTGCAGAAGGCTTTCCTCTGGGGCACACGTGGTGTGCTGGCTTTATGAGAGGATGAACCCCAAAGCCTTCTGATTTGTGACTCTGATGTGAGCCTTTCCATTCTCTTGGTTCCTTTCACTGTGCTTGCTCTTGCCCTGGGCTAATCTCCTGAGGCTGTGAGGCTTCTATTTTCTCCTGTCCCTCACTTTTCTTTGTTGTCCTCTCACATTGGGTCCAGTCTGGTACAGGCAGCCCCCTGAGGCCCTGCCCTGCTGCAGGCACCTGGTTTAGTGCTGAGAGCGCAACAGGAAGGGGTGAGGTGGGCACGCCTTCGCCCGGGGTTTTCCATCCAGAACATCTGGGATTGTCCGCTGTCACACGGAGATTCCAGGGAGGCTGGCAGCCAGGAGGCTCTTGACTGGGGCAGCAGGAATGATCTTGAGTCTCTGTCCACATTTCCCAGCCAAGCCTGATCAGCTCCTCCATGTTAACTGTGGGGGTTTCGGTGCTGTCAGGATTAAGAGAAACAGGCTTTTAAACACAAAGGAAAATTAAAAAGGGAACATAAAGTCCATAATTCTAATGTCTAAATGATCCTCGATGTGTTTTTGTAAAAAGCTAGTATGAGTGCAGGATTAGAAATTTGAAACCAAAACAGAAAGGTAAAGAAATGAAAAAATTGTACGTGGACCACCTGCCTTCTTTTTCCCCCAAAGATGAAACCCCAAGATACTCTTAGGCAGCTTTCTAGGGAGAGCTGTTCACAGCATCACGCGTAGCTTTTGAAAACCTTTACCTGAAGGGGACCCCACTGTGTTCCCTGCTCTTGCTTTCTCATCCCGATGCCGGTCCTGTGTTGGTGTCCGTAGGTACAAAAGGCCTCAGTCTCTCTATCATTTACGTGGATTCCCATTCTATGGACAGGCCATAATTACCTAACCACTCCCCTTTTGATGGACATTTAGGTTATTTCCAGCTGTTTACTGGGTAGGTTGCATTTTAAAAGTTTGAAATTTCCCCAGTAAGCATGTCTTCCCAACACCTGATCGTCGAGAAAAGCAGATCCCTTTGGAAAGTTTTAAACTTTATTTTCACAGTTGACTCTTTTCTTTTCCTTTCTTTGCTTTGCTTTGCTTTGCTTTGCTTTGCTTTTTTAAGGAGGCAGGGAAGGGAAGGTGACTCTCATACGTTGGATGCATACTACAGGAACTTTGCGTCTGTGACTATGTTTAGTTCTAGAAGGCCACGAGTACTTGCCCTGTGATTTAGACAAGGACTCTGATGTTCAGAGTCGACCCCTAGCTCATGATAGCCTTCAGCCGGGGTTGCACGGCTCTGACCGGCCCTGGGCCTTGCACACCGTTTCACTCACCTCGTTCTGCCATTTCTGTGCATCCAAGTTCATACACAGCTCAAGGGGAAGTTTCTCTATCCACCCATGTGAATTTTTTTTTTACATTTTTTTTTTAACGTTTGTTTATTATTGAAAGAGAGAGTCAGAGCGTGAGCAGGGGAGGTCAGAGGGAGAGGGAGACACCGAATCCGAGGCAGGCTCCAGGCTCCAAGCCGTCGGCACAGAGCCCAACACGGCGCTCGAACTCACAGACCGCGAGATCATGATCTGAGCCGAAGTCGGACGCTCAACCGACTGAGCCACCCAGGCGCCCCCATCCATGCGAATTTTTGCTTGGACCTTCTAACTGGGTGGTATTTTGCTCTGCATTGAGTCTCAGGTCTCTGTTTCAGAAAGCTTTGATTGTGTATGGCATGCTCTAAGATTCAGTGGGAGTAGGTGGTGATCAGAGGAAGCAGGCATTTTATCTTGGGACCCTGTTTCCCTGGGCTCGAGTCCTTCAGCAGGAGATGGGGGGGGGTGTCTAGAGCTGTGTTCGATCATACAGCATCCTAACTGGGCTCTGATGGATGCCATCTGTCAAGGGGCGCATGCTCGGAGTGCTGCCACCTCTGGGCTCTTGGCCGTTGGCATCTGTAACGTGCTCTCTGGGTTTCCTGGACAGGAGGATCATGTCTCAATTTATCTGTCATTTTTGTGGATGAATAATCCAAAGTGAGTAAATAAAAATGAATGTTTAGATTTAGATGCTAATTCGGCTTTCTGTTAGGTTCTGCCTTGAGTGTTATTGAAATTAATCTGTTTTCCTTGAGCACATCCCGCTTAGTGTTGGCAAGGTACGGTGGGCCTCAGAGTGCAGTTGATGGTTGTTTGGGGTACAGTCAGAAGATGGATAAACCACATCAAGATAATAGAAACGTTCTCCTTAAAACGTTTTCCCTTTTTAAAGACAAAATGACGTCTGGACGTCGTGCATACCCCAAAAAGAGAAAAGCGCTTCATTCAGAATCCTGCCCCAAACCGATGAGTTTTCTTTTGTCTTGGTTCCTTTCTAGACGTGGTCCATTTGCATGTAACCACTTTCTGAGGGGTACTGAGTATGCAACAGAGTTTGAGCTCCTGGCGAGGCACCCTTCTTTCGGGAGGAGCTTGGGCTGTGGGGATTGGGCAAGCTTCGATTTGAAATCTGACTCTTGGCTCAGGAGCTGAATGACAGTGGGCAAGTTACTTAGCCTTTCAGAGCCTCTATTTTTCTCATCTATAAAATGGGAGGGGCGTCCCTGTATCTCATGTCTGTTTCTCAGACAGATGAGTGAGTGACCTTTGAGAAGCACAGAGCCAGTGTTGGTAATGTATAGAGTTTCTGACTTAGGACGGTGGGTCGGTAGTAAATGGTAGCTGGTGCTATCGTTTTGATTATTTAACAACGATGGGGTTAATAATAGTCGTAATGACGAAGTAGGAGGCAGCATTTTTTGTTTCGGAACCGCATTTCTTGGGGCAGCAGCTCTCGGGCAGCCGGACCATAGCATCCGGCGAGATTCCGAGGTTCACATCCGTCTCTTGATTTCCCTAGGCCAAGCCCAGCATTCGGTGCTTCATTAAACCCACCGAGACGCTAGAGCGGTCCCTTGAGATGAATAAGCACAAGGGCAAGAGGCGGGTGCAAAAGAGACCCAACTACAAAAACGTTGGGGAGGAAGAAGATGAGGAGAAGGGGCCCGCCGAGGACGCCCAGGAAGACGCTGAGAAGGCTAAAGGTACTGAGGGTGGTTCAAAAGGCACCAAGACGAGTGGGGACAGTGAAGGTGAGTGCCCCCCTGAACGCCACCCTGCGCCCGCACTGCGAGCCAGGCAGCCGTCTGTGTCTGGTCCCCGTCGTGTGTCCGTTCCCCACGCCGGTGTACCTCATTCTACGGGCCCAGCCATTCGCAGGCAGCTGCGGGCAGGTCCGCCGCGAGGCCTGCCCTCATGGGGCGGGGGACCCGGGGCAAGGTTCTTATTCGCACCCGGGCCCGCTCCCCTGTGGGTAAACACAGGGGAGCAGACCGTATTTACTTGGCTTTGACGGTGGGGACATGGTGAGCACGTGTGCCGCGCCCAGAATGGCGCCCGGCCCGCATCCTACGTGTTTGCTGCAGCGGCTGCTATTTCTGCTACGAGTGCCATCCTGTTTATTGGGGTTCTTCTTGCTCCCCATAACCCGCAGTGAGGAGTTTTGACACAAGTCATTCTTCCCAGCGCACTGCAGGAAGCAAGCCGCGTTTCGTGAAATTATATCCATTTGATGAGATCACGTTGTTTTGGAACCGAATAATCCAGTATCATCCCCTAGAGTCTCACATTGAGATTTGTTCAAAGTCCTGTGTAGGGTGAGGTACACTTGTGTGTGGTGCACATGTGTTCAGTAAGCAGAATCGTTCCTCCCTCTTTTGGCCCCTGCTGGGGATGATTCTTGTTTGATTTCCACCTTCCTCTCGTTCAAATGCTAACACCTTCTCAGTCTGGAGAGCACCGTCTGCTCTGGAACTGAGCAAGCTTCAGCTGTGGAGTCTCTTGTGTCATGGGCCGGGCGCACAGCCACGCAGATGGGGTCTCTGGCCACGGCCATGGGCGCTCAGGGTGGGGGTGGGGTAGATGTGGGGTGGGGGCTCGGCTCTGGACGTGAGCTCCCACCACGCTCCTGGGACAGACACGGGCCGTTGCCAGCGCCCACCGTGGGCCGTCCTCCTGGGTCCTGGGCTGGTCGTGGCTGCTCCCAAGCCAACTGTCCCTGGCCCATCAGCCTGGACTGTGTGATTCCCTAGTCAAGGTCATCTGAAGCTGGAAAACGGAGCAGAGCAGCTCAGTAAATCACCGACTGGGAACTCATTTGTTGGGGGAGTTTGCTGCGTTTATGGAGCCAAAACCCGCCCCCGTCCCCACCCTGCGGGCCCCATTCTGATTTTCTTGGCAGTTCTCAGTGAATGCCACGATCACATTCCGATAAGTATAAGCAAAGCGTCTCTCCAGTGCCACCCTGCTCTCTCTTCAAGGCTGAGATCCCAGCATGCTATTATTTCTGTGTAAAGTATACAGTAAGCATTTTGGCGTCAGAATTCACTTTTGGCTCACAAACAGAATCACTGGTGGGGAGGTGAGGGGCAAACGCAAGGTAAGCAAGCCGTCCTAGTTTGCTTATTGGGATCTTTTTTTTTTTTTTTAAAACTCAGGAGAAAACTGCTTCAGCGCTGGGGTTTAGCTGTCCTGTGGCCACAGTGGGGAAAAGGAGGAGGATTTCACCCCATTTTCCCATTTTGCACTCTGTGTTCCTGTCGATTTTGTTTTGGAAGGATGCTACCTCTTTCATTCCAGTCCTTTTAAGGGCTGCTCTCTAACCAGGCCTGGCCGTGACTAACCCTGGTGTGGACAGGGCAGGCTTGGCGGTGAGCACAGTCAAGTGAGTCAGCGGGCGGCCCGGTCCCGGCGTGCGGAGCTCCAGCGGTTCGGCAAGGCTACCGTTCCAGCTCACCGCTGGGATCGGGGTCACGACTCCCCAGATGCCGAGCCGGCCCGCCCTGTGTGGGGGGCAAGCGGAGAAATGTTCACAGGTCTCCAGAAGCCCGTTTTCTGGGTGGTTACTTGGCGGGGTTGTACCAGACGGGGCCCAGGAATTTTCCCAGAGGCTTTACTTGGACACTTGATGGTGACATTAGAGTTTGGTCGACCATGGCTCCCAGCAGCCCTCTTGGCGTTTTGGTGCCCTCCTCTATTTTCCCGGATATACATTAGTCATTCCAAAATATTACGGACCTGTCATCTTCCCCCACAGCTCACCGTAAATAAACACGAGTCTCTCAGGCCCGTCCAGCAGAGGCACCTAACTGGGCTGCGGCAGCTGTCACGTGAATGGTGTACCCGATCTCTTAGTTATTCTCAGGTTTAAGGTGCAGCTGGGGGTGTTCTCTCCTTAGACTGTGTTTGGGTGAAACCATTCATGACCTGGAAGGGTGTTAGGCATGGTGTTGATGCGGGGGGGTTGCCAGGAGATGGGGTACTGGCCTTGCAGTCGTGTCTCGGTTTCCTGGGAGCCTTGAGTGGTCTCCCAACTCAAACCGTGCCTCAGTTTCCCCATCTGGAAATTGAGTATAACAAATGTAATTCGTGGGGTGCTTTTTTTTTTCTTTTTTAAATGAGTATATGTTAGGAGTCTTGTGGTTGTAAGAGTTGGAGGAAATTCAACTCGAACTGGCTTCAACAAAAGGGTGATTATTGTTCCCAGAACTGGAAGGCTTGGGCGGGGCTGGCCTCAGGTGCAGAGATGACCACGGGCAGTGCCAGGCTTGCATCCTGCCAGCTCACCACCAAGCAGAGAAGGAGCTGAAGGCTAGGGACCAATGCTTGGTGACAGCGAGGGGCCTGGCTGGCCCACTGCTGTAGAGGGGCGGTCTGTGCCGATTGGCCGGGCTTGGGTCATGTGTTGACCCCACAGTGACACCCTCGGTGAGAAATAGGGTGTGTTTGTCAGAAGAAGGGGTCATGCGTGCTGGGCCCGCGGAAGCAGCAGACGCTCCACTAGAAAGCCACAGCGCTCCTGTGTGCCCCTCATCCCCCTCCTGGCTGTCTTCTCCCTCACTGTTTGGGGTGGATCTGTGGCTAGTTTGTCCTCCAAATTATTTTTTCTCTAGCAAGCTTCTTGCCTTGCCCCTGGATCTAGGGGTTCGTGGACCTCCTGGTTGTAACGAGCAGGCAGGGGTGACTTTGAAAAAGGAGATGGTGGTACCAGCTCCCCCTGCACAGCCTGCCACCCCCACGTTAGTGGGGGGGTCTTCAAAAGGCAGCATCAGGCACAGGCAGACAAAGGCATATGGTCGTGAGTCGGTCGCAGTTCTGCCTTGACCTGATTTAAATGTGGCATTAACGTGCTCTTTTTCTACAAATGCAACCAGAATTCACACGTCCTCCACATTTAAGCCCAGACAAGGAAGTAGGGTGAAATGAATGTGGACCTTCCACTCAGCCTCAGGTCCCAAATGACGGGTGACTCATTCTGAAACCAGAAAATCACAGGGCCCCTCAATCTGCAGCAGTTGCACACCGAAAGGAAAAAGACGGGTGCCCTAGTCCCTGTAGTCAAAGAAGCATTCACTCGATGCTCGCTGTGTCCCAGATGTCTCATCGGTCTGAAAGGATAGTCCTCTCTTTCTGGAGTCACTTGCAACAGTAGCTTAGTAAACAGACCCCAGGCACGAAAATGAATTGTTTGAACTTCTCGTTTGAAAAATAGGGTTTAGCTTTTGTTTTTTTTGTCCTATGGAAAAAGTAGGCACCAACCGCGTGGCCTGACCTTCAAAACCTACTCTTTTCTTAAATCGCAGCAGGGGCTTGGAATGAAGGGGACGACACTGACTTTGAACTTGCCAGGTCAGCTGGGAGTTGAGGGGTGCCTGGAAGTTTGGAACCCCGGCTTTGCTTTTTTTTTTTTTTTTT